TTTTTAAATGCAAGCTATTGTGACACCAGATATGAGTGAGTGGTGGCACTGGGCACCGTATCCACTGTGAGCTTAACACACCCACTTTAAGGACACTGACTGCTATTCAATCCTATAACAGTGAAAAAAGTTTTTTGTTTTTAAATGCAAGCTATTGTGACACCAGTGAGTGAGGGCACTGACTGGGCAAATGGGCACAGTATCCACTGTGAGCCTGACACAAGCTGGCAGCAGTGGCAGACAACTAACTGCTATTCAATCTATAACAGTGAAAAAAGTTTTTTTTTTTAAATCAAGCTATTGTGACACCAGATGTATTTGGTGGCACTGACTGAAATAGGCACAGTATGCACTGTGAGCCCTGACACACAGAAGCTGGCAACAGTGGCTTGAACAACTGACTGCTATTCAATCCTATAACAGTGAAAAAAGTTTTTTGTTTTTAAATCCAAGCTATTGTGACACCAGAGTAGTGGTGGCACTGGGGAATGGGCACTGTGAGCCTGACACAGAAGCTGGCAGCAGTGGCAGACAACTAAGTGCATTTACATTACATAGAAAAATAAAATAAAAAAAAAGCATACCCTTATCCCTAACCTAGCTATGTTTTCCCTATCTTATGAACAGCAGCTACACTTTCCCTCCTCTTACTAAGCATGCAGCTTGAGAATGAATCTAAAATGGATGCTGTCCAGTAGGTGGGAGGGTCTGCTAGGGAGGCTGTGCTGCTAATTGGCTGGAATGTGTCTGCTGACTGTGAGGTACAGGGTCAAAGTTTACTCAATGATGACGAATAGGGGGCGGGTCGAACCGCGCATATGTTCGCCCGCCGTGGCGAACGCGAACATGCTATGTTCGCCAGGAACCGTTCGCCGGCGAACCGTTCGGTACATCACTAATTACAAATTATTGTATTATTACAGCTCAGTGTACTACTATTACAGCAAAGTGTATTATTTTGACAGCTCAGTATATTAATATTACAGCGAAGTGTATTACAGCGATGTGTACTACTATTACAGCTCGATGTATTGCTATTACAGCGAAGTGTATTATTACGGTTTCTTATAGTGGGTATTGGTAAAAAAACTATTTCAGTTCCTCACATTTTCACGCCTCACTAAATGACATTATATAGGGAAGTACTGGTTGTGTCTTACAGGAGCAGTGAGGGCATGCGCGCACATCACAAGTACACAGCTGAACTCCCCCAAGGACCTTGTTGGTAAGGGGAGCGGAGCTTGGGAATCACAGACAGACCTAGGACTAAAATATATTAAATCCCAGCATTTCAGAGACAGCTTTGTAGCACCATATAAGCATTAGTGCTTATGGTTCTTGGAGTGGGTGCAGAGATGATGCTCTGTAAAGCAAAGCACGGCCACTGGACAATCAGCAAAATACATGTCTAACTCGCCCTGACTACTCACTGGGGTCTGGAGTGCGGCTCCCATCTTTGTTTGGTGGAGAAAATGTGGTCATGTTCAATTTTTTAAACTCCTCTTGAAGAAAAATTTGCTTCACCTCACATTCAGCCTCTATGTGAACACAATGGGAAAACTACGCAGAGTAAAAAACGAGAGGAATAGAATCACATTAGATTAAAGTACAGCTTTTCTAGGTGGACAACAATCAGGGAGGGTGTAAACCAACCTCCTCTGTGGCTTTAAGCTTCAGCCCTTCGTGCCAGTCTGGACCCAGAGCGCTGCCCACCGAGGAGTCATTCCTGCCTAAAATGGACATTCACAGGAGTTACAAGTCGGGGATAGTAACTTCCACCCACTGAGGAGTCATTCCTGCCTAAAATGGACAGACACGGGAGTTACAAGTCGGGGATAGTAACTTCCACCCACCGAGGAGTCATTCCTGCCTAAAATGGACAGACACGGGAGTTACAAGTCGGGGATAGTAACTTCCACCCACCGAGGAGTCATTCCTGCCTAAAATGGACAGACACGGGAGTTACAAGTCGGGGATAGTAACTTCCACCCACCCAGGAGTCATTCCTGCTTGAAGTCGGGGATAGTAAATTCCATTTCCGCACTCTAACAAGTGTCATTAATAAAATGCGTTTACCATTTCTACGCATTATTTTGTTGAGGAAATAACAGGTAAATAGAAATAAATGCACTCTGTATAAATGAGCTACAAAACCTGTCAGGAGAAAAGGAAATGGTGTTTAATCCAATAAAGCTCAGTTTTACATCTGAATTAGGTGCTATTATACGGAGTGTGATTGTCGCACTGTGTTAGGGTACGTGTGTCAGGATTACAGAATGAGGACTGATAGGTAACGTATACCGGACCTTAGAATGGCCGGACTAACGTACCAAAGAATAGTCAGGAATAGCCAAGGTCAAGGGAAACAAAAAGAGACACAACGATAAGGAAACGCCAGGAGTCAGGGATGCCAGAAAACAGGGAAGTCAAAAACAATGCCAAAGTCAAATAACCAGAATAACCAGGATCAATAACGCGCTCTCAGACAACCACAAGGGAAACCACGACAGGGCACTGAGCAGGATGAGAACTGGGCCTAAATACCCCTCCTCTAGGTCTGATAGGCTGTAACCGGCCTTTGACCCCAAAGGCAATTACCAGATCTCATTTGTGTGGACAGTAAATGTCATTAACCACATTTTTGTAAGCAGATGAATACGTGACAACGTGGTAATTTCTGCAGTCTCTAATATAAGCATTGGGAATCCTTTTTAACGTAATATAACAGATTTTTTTTTTTTTTATTGACATAGTGATGTTATTACGTCTATATCTGTCTACATCCCACGTCCCAGCTCTCTCCGTGTCGTTATTATCCTGTGAGGAATAAATGAATGAAACTCACTGGCAGGGACATCCATTGTGTAACGGCTTCTCTTGCAGGTCAGAGATGTTGCTGCCTTATCAGCTCTGAGCTGTGAGATTAGAAATTGTGCTGCTCCAGCGTCAAAGAAAGTGTTTCCGATAGATTTGTCTTTAATGGCCCAGATGACCTCACAGCCCTCGATCTCATAGCTGCAGACAGAGAGATCCAAACAAAGAGTCTCAATTCACGTACAGAAAGGGGTCACTTCAGGAGACATTAAAAGATTACTCTAAGCCCCATATCACATCTGTATGATTGCAGTGGTTATGGTGCAGCGATAACTCCATATCTGGCACTGCTGTAAATAAACACACGCTCACATTGGAAGGATCTAACTATGTGGCTAAGGGCCCTTCCAATCATTGCACAAAGTCTGCTTCACAAATCAGTGTTTAAAGGAACTCCCCAAACCCCCAAAGCATTACGGCTTGCTAAAGTAATGTAGGGGTTAAAGTCTCCTCCCTTTCTCACTTTTAAAAAGGGCCAATTTCATTTCTGGACCTTTGTTCTTCACAATTTCTGGTTTAATGAATACATTGTTATTTAAAACTGATGTAAAATAACCGGTCCTGTTACTTCCTGGTTTGTTTAGCTCAGTGGAGATACACTCAAGGAGGTAGCAATTGCCCAGAGCACCTGCCTTACAAAGACTTCTCATTAAGCTGCATTGGGAAGTCTGTGATTGGACAGCCACGGGAAGTCTGGGCGGGGTTAGAAGGGGAGGAGCTTGCCAAGGCTGCAGACAAGAGATCTTCGATAAACGCCCAATTAAAAAAAATGCATAATTAAAATTATAGTAATTAAATGCATGCAAGTTCTCATTTGGGTATATCTACTAAATAGTGAATTTTACGTATTTTGGATTTATGCTGTGGAGTGTCTCTTTACCTTCTATCAATTATGAAGTAAAATAATGAGCGCTAAACAATAAATTACGAAGCACAATTTGATAAAAATGAGATTCTCACACCAATTCCAGTGCGATGCCTCCATTTCCCACAATCACCACCCGCCTGGCATTGGCGAGATACCTCTGAAACTCCTGAAACAAGACAATCAATATGTTACCAACGCTCCATTACAGAACACGCACTGTATCATTCTGCTCCATAGCGAATTGGTTTTGGTTTATCAGAAACCCAACGCTTCGTCATCCATTAATGCATTTCTGGCAGTTATTAATTCAAGTATGAAGTGTCTGAATTCATTGTGTGAATTTTACGTTTAAATAAAATCTCCAAGTAAATTTGCTAAGAAAAGTTTAGACTTTTTCTATTTATTTTGTATTTTGCCAGCACTGAATGTAAATTGTGTTGGTTTTGGCTTTATAAATTTCAGGAAGTTTATTATCCATAAGTAAAACAAACCTCAATATACAGTTAGAGCACATTAGAAAAAAAAAAAAAAAAACACTTCTCATTTTTTGAAGCCCATGTTAAAGATCGGTGCTGCTTA